AAAAAAAAAAAAAAAAAAAAAAAGAGATTCTCTTGCCTAGTCTCCCAAGTAGCTGGGACTGCAGGTGCCCACCACAACACCTGGCAATTTTTTTGTCAGAGTTGTCCTTGTTGGCCCAGATGGGGTTTGAACCCACCAGCCTCGGTGTATACGGCTGTCTCCCTACCTATTGAGCTACGGGTGCCACCGAAAAAATTATATTTTTAAGTTAAGTGGCCTGAGGAATATTTCTCAGGTGTATTAAAAATGTTCTTTGGCTGACTTGCAATGGCAAACTTGTTTTTAAATATGACATTAAAAGACCTAGTGAGAGGGAAAAAAAAGAATAAAAAACAAAAAGACCTAGTAAGACCAAAAACTTTTTACAAGTAAGTAGTTTAGTGATTACAACTTAGTAGTTCTGAAAAGTGTCTTGCTAGAGAACCTTTGTTCATATGCCCAACTGGCTTTTGTGCAAAAACAAAACAAAACAAAACAAAACAAAACAAAGTTGCTAATATGCCCAACTTGCTAGAGAACCTTGCTCATATGCCCAACTGGCTTTTGTGCAAAAGAAAATGTTGTTACCTCTTAGCTTATACGGGGTGGCCATAAAGTTTGTGTGCAATTTTACATGAACTTTATGGCCACCCTGTATTGTTATTTCCTTAGGAAGATGTATTCTAAGTCCTAAATAGCAAACCTACAATGTGCACTCTGGAAACAAAGTCAGTTTATTGGTTGGGGGTTGCTTGTTTGAAATTTGGGGTCTCAGAACTACTTACCTCTTTTTATTGTCTTGATCCTATTCATTGACCCATTCTCCTCAATCCCTCAAATTCTGCTTATCCCCTTCCCTGACATCATAGGTTTCTCCCCACAGTAATATGTGCCCTACCCACAGCACCCAGTATTGGCTCCACCTGCTGTGAGCCTTGAAGAAGGCTGAAGTTCCAGCTCCCATCCTCCTTGCTGCTCCAAACACTTGTCTAGTGTCGCCTCCCACACACCCTTGCCCATCTCACCAGAGTTACAGTGCCGACAGTTTTCACAATGGGGCCGAGCGTGGTGGTCTGGAGAGAAGGAGATCCCTGGTATACACGGATCACACTGAGCAGCTTTCCCATCCCGGTCACAGTCCTTCACTCGGAATGTTCCTGTGAGCAGAGGGTCCAGGATCAACATCCAGGGAAGGCCAATTCTCTGCCATCTTCATGGTGGCATCTCCTGGCAGTGGCAGGATTTGTCTCTGCTCGTCTCAGTTTCACCCTGTGTGCCCCTTTACCTTAATCCAGGCCTCACTCCCCTCAACTCTGCTGGCTGCTGCCAAGCTCACTCTCTCACCTGGCCGACACATCTGGCAGCACAGTCCTGCCTGTGCCCGGTAGAGCCTCTCTGGACAGCTCTTGGAGGCTGGGATAGCTGAGAGCCCTGCCAGGGTCCCCAGAATGCACAGCCAGCAGAGAGGCAGCCACACCATGGCTCCTGCTCAGGTACCCTTTCCGGCCTTAGGGTTGCTGCCTGGCCCCTCCCCTGGGCACTAACACCTCTCCTTTGCACCTGCTGGGTGGTGTCTCTACTTCAGGGCCAAGCAGACCTTTGATGGCAGTCGAAGTTCTATTGTGGCTGTTTTTTCTCACAGCTGCAACCTCCTCCCTCCTCCCCTTTTCCGCACCGCTCAGGGGAGTTTCAAAGGGCAAACACTGTCAGAGACCTGCTGCCCTTCAAAGACATCTCTTCCAGCGCACCAGCCTCCTTTGCTGTTGCCTCTCTCCTACTCATTAAGCTCATAACCCATCTATGCCTGCTTCTTTCACAAAAAAAGGATGAGGCATGCACACATTACCCACTCCTCTTCTCCACACACATCTGTGCACAAGATGCCCACATTACCCCCGTCCACGATTTACAAGCTAAGCCTTACGTCCCCTCTCTACCATACCTCCATCTCTTCTTTAATAGAGATAGCAGTTTATCTTTTGTTGTTGTTGTTATTTTTTTGTTTGTTTGTTTTGAGACAGAGTCTTAACTATGTTGCCCTTGGTAGAGGGCCGTGACATCACAGCTCATAGCAACCTCAAACTCTTGGGCTTAAGAGATTTTCTTGCCTCAGCCTCCCAAGCAGCTGGGACTACAGGCACCTGCCACAACGCCGGGCTATTTTTTGGTTGCCATTGTCGTTGTTTAGCTGGCCCTGACTGAGTCCAACCCACCAGCCTTGGTATATGTGGCGGTTGCCATAACCACTGTGCTACGAGTGCCAAGCCTGTTGTTATTTTAGAGATAACAGTTTAAGAAGAAGAATGGGTGAGTGGAGCACGGTGGCTCATGCCTTTAATCCTAGCACTCTGGGAGGCCCAGGCAGGTGGATTGCCTGAGCTCAGGAGTTTGAGACCAGCCTGAGCAAGAATGAGACCCTGGGCTCTAAGAAATAGCTGGGTGTTGTGGCGGGTGCCTGAGTCCAAGAGTTTGAGGTTGCTGTGAGCTTTGATGCCACAGTACTCTACCGAGGGTGACAAAGTGAGATGACTGTCTAAAAAAAAGAAGAAGAAGAAGGAGAAGAATCAGGAACAAGAATTGAGCTCTTATCTGGAAATTTTGGGGTCAGGTCAAATTTAGAATTCAGAATTTTTCATCCTAGCACTCTGGGAGGCTGAGGTGGGTGGATCACCTGAGCTCAGAAGTTTGACACCAGCCTTAGCAAAAGCGAGACCTCATCTCTCCTAAAAATAGAAAAACTAGCAGGACGTTGTGGTGGGCGCATGTAGTCCCAGGTGCATAGGTGGCTGAGGTAAGAGGATCACTCAAACCCAGGAGTTTGAGGTTGATACGAGCTATGACACCACAGCACTCCACCCTGGGGCAACAGAGTGAGACTGTCTCAAAATAAATAAATGAATGAATAAAAATAAATAAATAACAAAAAATAGAAGGTCATCCCGTGTGGGTCGTGTCTTTCGTCTCTCCCCAGTTCTCCTGGAGAGACCAATTTGGTGATATTAGAAACAGTAGGACTTTTCCCTTTTTGAGTCCTGGGAACACAAGTGGGCTAGAAGCCTCCCCCACTCCTTCCCCAGTGACTGACATTTTGGGTGGCTCATGTCCTCAGGAAGTTTTTCATTTAGGGGCTTTGCAGATGTTTCCACACTACTCATAAATGTCACACCCTTATGGCCACACCTGTCAGATCTGTCTGATCTGTTCTCTATCTCACCCTTCAGTTTCCTTTCTCTTCATTTTCTCCATCCTCTGGTCTTTCCCCAGCCCCCCTACAGTTTCCTCAGAGGGTCCACTCCAGCGGGAAGGCAGTCTAGGTGTAGTTTGAGGAGCTATTCATAGAAACTGTCTCTGCCCGAATCCCCTCTGCAGAGAGTGCTAACGTTGGGACTTGAGTACTTTGCTGTCACTAACCATTCCCAGGTTGTGGTAAATATCGTCACTGTTAATCTTTTATTTCTTTCTTTGTTTGTTTATCATAGGAGAGTTGGTCTTGCTGTGCTGTCCAGGATGGAGTGCAGCGGCCCATCTCCCCTCTTCTCCTTGTCACTTGTCCATGGGGGTCAGAGCAGAGCAGACTTTGGTCAAGAGGAGGAAAGCCAGGTCACAGGACCTTATTCTTCTCTGGCCAAGTGGAATGACCTCATCTCCTGAATTGAATTGAATTACAATTAATCTGATTGAATTACAATTCAATTAATTAATTAATTAATTACAATTAAAAGGTTATTAAAACTATTCCTCTTCTGCCTATTAGGCTTAGTATCCCCCTAACCTTTGATGCCCCATCATCACCAAACTTTTGGGTCCCTCCTTTCTTCTGTTTAACATTTGCCTGATTGTAGTACTCTTAGTTGTCATCAGCCAAAAAAAGGGAGTAATTGAGTAGATTTTTATAACTTGTTAGTACATTTATTTTGTCATCTAATCACATTTCTTGTTAAAAAAATTCAGACATAGTAAAGAGAGTTTTGATTCCTTTCAAACTTACTTACTCCTTTCCCCTGGCTTTCCCACCTCACTGCCTCTACTTTACAAGATTTAGCTATCTATGGAGTGTCAGAGAAATGGCATCATGCCCAGCCATTTCAGTAGAGGCTCCAAGAGTGTGGCCCACTGGGTCCTCCAAGCCCTGTAGGGGCTAAAAAGGGTAGAAAAGAAACAAGATGGAGGGCCACAAATTGACACCTCAAGGACAGAGAAATCTAAACAGAATTGCTGGATAGGTGCCAACAAGAAAATTAAAACAAATAATGCTAAGGTAATAAATTGCCTCATTTGTAAACAAAAATCTACCTTTACAAATGGAATGGGTATTCTAACAAATGAACAAATACAGCCTCGCACTTTAGGCAGGGTTATTAAGTTTTCACAGTTTTTATCTGGAAAAATTAAGATGTGTACTCCCTACTCAGTAAAACCTTCCAAATGTTTAAAACTGCTTTATTCATAACTTTACTAGGACTCCAAGAGTATAACCTACAATATGTTTGTGCCTAGAAATAAAGATCTAATTTCTAAACTTACCTGAGCCTGAAAAATAAAAATTTTCTGTTTAAGTCTGATTGAGAAAATCCTGTATCAATGTTATATTTCATAAAATGTTTCTCATTTGTAAATGTAATAATTTAATTGCCTAAAACCGAGTCTTTATCAAAGAAAATTCTTGCTTTTTAAAACTTTTAAATTATCAGTTTAGCGGGTAAATGGTTAACTATAATCCTGTTTTATAAAAAGTGAATTTTAGGGAGTAAGAAAATTAGAAAAAAAAATGGCATTGTATAAAGAAAAAATATTGTGTAATAAATTTATCCTGAAACAGAATAGTTGTTTAAAAGTAAGAAACAAGATAAAAATTAAAGAAGATTTAAAATGTTTATAGATTGCCTTTACAGATTAAATAAAACTCATAAAAAGATTTTGTAAAGCAGTTTACATGTAATCCAGTTGACTATGTATTTCCTTCAAAATATTTTAGTTGTAACCCTGTTTAAACAAATGTTTTAAACCTTTGATATTTGACAAAACTTCCAAAGTAAAAACTCTAAATTCAGAACTTGGTACCCATAGCACAGTGGTTGTGGCACTGGCCACATGAACCGAGACTGGCAGATTCTAAACCTGAAAAACAAATTAGACTTATTTGATTTGTTAAAAGTGTATAGGAAGCATTGTCAGATATGAAATGGTAAATAATTTTGTGTAAATTATGATTTTATATATATATTCCAATATTGTAAAACATTAGTCTGTCCTAACATGTACTGTCAGTAATAATTTTAATTCATCTAAAAGGAAAGTGTTTTTTATGTAACTAAGTTCAAAGTTCATCCTAAAAAAAATATATTAAGATCATATCTATAAGTATTGCTAATCTAATTTCAAACAGAACAAAAATCAGTTATGTAAAACTAAACTAGTTTATTATAGCTTTTTGTTTAAAATATTGTTGGTTCTTCCTGTGTTCTGTTTTTTTAAAAGTCAAGAAAATAATTTTCTGTCTTTTGAGCTATTTGTAATATCTCAAACAATGTATATACTTATAAGCAGAGTTTAAAACATATATTTTTTCTCTCTCCTTAATTTCTCCAACTTTACAAGTAATTTGTAAATATTCTTTTTTTTTTTTTTTTTTTT